AGTCACCATACTGTAAGAGGTCCCCACAAACAGCTTCAGAGTGAGTTAAAAAAAAAAAACTGGTGCTATGCTTAGCTTTTGGATTTGTATAGTTTTCAGATGACCAAAGTACACTGTAGTTGACATTCATTGGGAAAACTCAAACAATATAGACAGGATTGGACGAAAAGTGAAACTATCCTAACCCCATTCCCTAAATTGCACTTCCTGGAGACAAGCTTTAGAGTTTGGTGAATACAAACCACCTTTTCCTTGTATAGTGCTAGTGATTCTAACACAAAATGCCAGGCCACTTTTGGGGGTGAGGATGGGGCGGGAAACAGCCCCTTTAGAGCTTCCTGGGTTTTAACTATGACAAAAGAATGTTAGGAACATGAAAATCACTCAGAAACAAAATCCTTAGAGTGGGTCTCTCCCTATCTCCTGCCTCATAGGTTATTTAACTCTCAGTTACTGGCCTGGGTGGAGGTCCCTTAAGACATGATTTTCAAACCATTCTGGAGGCATCAGAGGTCCCATAAGACTTTAAAATTTCATTAAAAAAAAAAAAAAGTGGCCAGGCATGACCGCTCATGCCTGTAATCTCAGCACTTTGGGAGGCAAAGGCAGGTAGACTGCTTGAGCCCAGGAGTTCGAGAGCAGCCTGGGCAACACAGGGAGACATTGTCTCTACAAAAAATAGGAAAAATTAGCCAGGCGTGGTGGCATGTGCCTGTGGTCCTAGTTACTCAAGAGGTTGAGGTGGGAGGATCACTTAGGCCGGGGAGGCAGAGGTTGCAGTGAGCCGAAATTGCACTACTGCACTCCAGCCTGGGCGGCAGAGCGAGACTCCGTCTCAAAAAAAAAAAAAAAAAAAAAAAAAAAAATTAAAAAAAAGAAAGCAAGAAAAGAAAGAAAACGTAGACTGGGTGTGATGGCTCACACCTGTAATCTCAGCACTTTGGGAGGCTGAGATGGGCGGATCACAAGGTCAGGAGATCGAGACCATCCCGGCCAACATAGTGAAACCCCGTCTCTACTAAAAATGCAAAAATTAGCTGGGTGCGGTGGTGCATGCCTGTAATCCCAGCTACTCGGGAGGCTGAGGCAGGAGAATTGCTTGAACCAGGGAGTCGGAGGTTGCAATGAGCCAAGATCGTACCACTGCACTCCAGCCTGGCGACAGAGTGAGACTCTGTCTCAAGAGAAAAAAAAAAAGAAAGAAAACATAATAAGTACATCCACCAAATTCCATATTCTAAAGCACTCATGTTAACTCTTTCTTGGTTTGGGCACACCTCAGAAAGAAGTTTCTGTCATTCCTCTGCATACATGCAGGATTTGATGAGGAAAATTGTCTGTGGTGGTCTTTTAAAAGTATATAGACCTCTTCAGGAGAATTGCTTGAACCCAGGAGGCGGAGATTGTGGTGAGTCAAGATCGCGCCATTGCACTCCAGCTTGGGCAACAAGAGCAAAACTCCCTTTCAATAAATATATATATATATCTTTATGTCCATCTAAGCAACCTGGTAAAGTAGGTACAATATGACTTACAAGTGGGAAGCAGAATATTTTAAAATTTGGATCCTGAGCCTGATAGTGTATAGTGGGAAGCTGGGTTCTGAAAATGGGCAGTCTTGGGTTTGAATAGCTTCTTGCCCCTGCCCCCAAGGCTGGAGTGCAGTGGTGCAATCACAGCTCACTTGATCTCCCAGGCTCATGTCATCCTCCCACCTCAGCCTCCCGAGTAGCTGGGACTACTCGTGTGCCACCATGCCTGGCTAATTTTTGTGCTTTTTGTAGAAACAGGATTTCACCATGTTACCCAGAGTGATCTTGAATGCCTGAGCTCAAGCAATCCTCTGTGTCTTGGCCTTCTAAAGTACTGGGATTGCAGGTGTAAGCCACCTCTCCCTGCGTGAATAGCTTCCTGTGTGGCCTCTGATGAGGCATTTAACCTCTCTGAATCTCGGTTTTCTCATCCGTAAAACGGGAATAACAATATAAAAATAAAAGACATCCATATTCTTAAGAGTCATTGGTTATTTCTGGAACTTCTCTTTGACTTTCTTTCTTTCTTTTCTCTCTCTCTCTCTTTCTTTTTCTTTTAACATTTATTCCATTCACTGTACTCAATTCTTTCACTTTTTTTTTTTCCAGCTGGAATCTTGTTCTGTCACCAGCCTGGAGTGCAGTGGCACGATCTCGGCTTGCTGCAACCTCTGTCTCCCGGGTTCAAGTTATTCTCCTGTCTCAGCCTCCCGAGTAGCTGGGATTACAGGCATGCACCACCATGCCCAGTTAATTTTTGTATTTTTAGTAGAGACGGGGTTTCACCATGTTGGCCAGGCTGGTCTCAATCTCCTGACCTCTCATGATCCGCCTGCCTCGGCCTCCCGAAGTGCTGGGATTTCAAATGTGAGCCACCACACCCGGCCCTCTTTGGCTGTCTAAGGTGATTTAATATCTCATAATTTCTACCATCTAGCATCTTTCTAACTACCCTTCTCAAGACCCCAGTCTTCTACTCCATCTAATCAAATCTTTCTCTTCCTTTAGGCAGTCCCCAGCCTCCGGGAGTCTTGTTCATTTCTTTGGAAGAACAGCTTAGCTCTCTGCCTCACAGCACAATGCCGGAGTACCTTCCCTCAGAGCTAAAATTTCATCAGGAAGCAGCATTAAACAGAGCCTCTGCCTAACACTGCCTGCAGCACAAAGCCCAGCAAAAGCTCTTAACCCAGTGTCCTTGAATACGATTCATTTTCTTGGGCAAGGTGCTCTCCTCCACCAGCATCTGTGAGCAGGAGAGATTACCATCTTCAGATCTAAACCCTGCCATCTTCCTCAGGAGGCACAACTGCCTATTCGCTTCTTCTAGAAGGGGTGAAGTTACCAATGTGAACTTACAGATTTGTCCTAATAAAATGTTGCTTTTAGCTCTTTAATATATAGGGATCCCATGTTGGAGTTTACTAGAAATACAGGGTTCAGTCACTAGAAAAACAGTTGACAACCACTGACTTGGGGCTTTTCTGTTTGCTCCCTGCTAGTCAGAAGGAAGACAGTTTGTTCTATTTTCTTTTCTTTTTTTTTTTTTTTAATGAGACAGAGTTTCACTCTTGTCGCCCAGGCTGGAGTGCATGGTGCGATCTCGGCTCACTGCAACCTCTGCCTCCCAGGTTTAAGCAATTCTCCTGCCTTAGCCTCCCCAGTAGCTGGGATTACAGGCATGTACCACCACTCCCAGCTAATTTTTGTATTTTTAGTAGAGATGGGATTTTACCATGTTGGCCAGGCTGGTCTCGAACTCCTGACCTCAGGTGATCCACCCACCTCAGCCTCCTAAAGTGCTAGGATTACAGGCGTGAGCCACCGTACTTGGCCTTATTTTCCTTTTGAACCACAAAGATCCTTTCTTTCTTCAGTATTTATTCAATTAACTTTCTTTCTCTCATACTCCAAAACTAGCAGAATGTTTACATCCTGACATCTGAGGACACAAGACCCTCTCATCTTAATTTCTCTTAATCATAGCAGATTTTTACATTCTCTTCCTAATATAAATGCGTTTATGAGTTACAGCTGCTGATTTTATAATTACCAACGAATTGGTTTTGGATGCAAGGAGACATTTTCTTCAAGTCATAGCATTTAGAACAGTCAACTGACCAGAATTTTAACGAGGTGATATTATGGTACATATTTGTTTATATAACTAAAACAACAAACTTAGATTTTAGATATTTTCCCTTAAAATGAACCCAACTTTCAACTGCTTTAGAAGAATATGTTGATATATTTCATTATGAATATACAAACTTGTATATAAAGAAATCCCTAACTAAATGGTTGGAACTATTTCCTTTAATTTAATTTTATTATTTTATTTTATTTTGAGACTGGAGTCTCACTCTGTTACCCAGGCTGGTATGCAGTGGCATGATCTCAGCTCACTGCAAGCTCCGCCTCCTGGGTTCAAGTGCTTCTCTTGCCTCAGCCTCCTTAGTAGCTGGGACTACAGGTGTTCACCACCACCCCCGGCAAATTTTTGTATTTTTAGTAGAGACGGGGGTTTCGCCACATTGGTCAGCCCGGTCTTGAACTCCTGACCTCGAGTGATCCCCGCCCCGACCTTGGCCTTCCAAAGTGCTGGGATTATAGGCGTGAGCCACTGCGCCCGGCCGGAACTATTTCCTTTAGGCCAACCTGAAAAACTGAGGTTGGCATAATGATAATGGTTGAGCTCTCAAAAAAATAAATAAAAGCATTTAACAACCTACATGATCTTCAGTATATGGTAGCAATGAGTATTAATTCTGAAATTGTATCTTGAAGATTTCTAAAAAATGCAATCTTGAGAAATAAATTACAGAAAAAAAGAAACTCTTCAAAACACAAATTTTAAAAAATGACACTAGACTGTAAGCTCCACAGGGCAGGGATTTTTGTCACTTCTGCGCTCTGCTAGATCTCCGGCGCCTAGAAAAGGGCCTGGCACATGGTAGGTGCTCAGTAAATACATGGTGAATGAATATATATATATATATTTGAGACAGAGTCTGGCACTGACGCCCGGGCTGGAGTGCAGTGGTGCGATCTCGGCTCACCGCAACCTCTGCCTCCCAGGTTCAAGTGATTCTCCTGCCTCAGCCTCCAGAGTAGCTGGGATTACAGGTGCCGGCCACCATGCCCAGCTAATTTTTTGTATTTTTAGTAGAGATGGGGTTTCACTATGTTGGCCAGGCTGGTTTCGAATGCCTGACCTCGTGATCCACCCACCTCGGCCTCCCAAAGTGCTGGAATTACAGGCGTGAACTACTGCGCTCGGCTGGTGAATGAACACTTTCAACAATAAAGTTTGATTAAAAATTTAAGAAATTACAAGTGCCCTCGATAGGCAATCGATCAACTGGAAACTAAAAAGCCAGATAATTTTGCATCTTAAATTGACCGTGAAACAAATTGAATAAGTCCAGTTTTTCTTTTCCATTTACAACTGGTTATTGGTTTAAAAAGCAGCCACTTCCCGGCGGCCTTTGCGGGAACAAGATGGCAGCCCCCATACCTCAAGGCCAGTTCTGGTGACTCAGTCCTCAGCTATAGTTCCAGTAAGAACTAAAAAACGTTTCACACATCCTGTTTTTCAACCTAAATTTAAAACAGAAAAAGTTTATGGAACATGCCCGGAAAGCAGGATTGGTTATTCCTCCAGAAAAATCGGACCGTCCCATACATCTGGCCTGTACAGCTGGTATATTTGATGCCTATGTTCCTCCTGAGGGTGATGCACGCATATCATCTCTTTCAAAGGAGGGACTGATACAGAGAACTGAACGAATGAAGAAGACTATGGCATCGCAAATGTCAATCCGGAGGATAAAAGACTATGATGCCAATTTTAAAATAAAGGACTTCCCTGAAAAAGCTAAGAATATCTTTATTGAAGCTCACCTTTGTCTCAACAACTCAGATCATGACCGACTTTATACCTTGGTAACTGAACACTGTTTTCCAGACATGACCTGGGACATCAAATATAAGACCGTCCGCTAGAGCTTCGTGGAATCTTTAGAGCCCTCCCATGTTGTTCAAGTTCACTGTTCAAGTATAATGAACCAGGGCAACGTGTACGGCCAGGTCACCGTATGCATGCACACCCGGCAGACTCTGGCCATCTATGACCGGTTTGGCCGGTTGATGTATGGACAGGAAGATGTACCCAAGGATGTCCTGGAGTATGTTGTATTCGAAAAGCAGTTGACAAACCCATATGGAAGTTGGAGAATGTATAGCAAGATCGTTCCCCCATGGGCACCCCCTAAGCAGCCCATCCTTAAGACGGTGATGATCCCTGGCCCTCAGCTGAAACCAGAAGAAGAATATGAAGAGGCACAAGGAGAGGCCCAGAAGCCTCAGCTAGCCTGATGACAAAAATGACTTCTGGGGTGAAGCCTGGGTGATGAGGCTGCTGGAAGCTTTGAAGTCTCCCATTCCCATCATGCTATAGAAAGAACTACCTTTGTTCTCTCCCATCCTGCTCAGGTCTTTTCAGTAGTCTCATCCTCAGCAACCATGGCTGATGGCTGGGCCCTAGCAGGTGGCAGGTATAACATGGCCATGTACACTCTTCTTTTTTAAATTTTATGTCAAGCTTCTGAGGCTAGATGAAAGACAGTATGTTTCAGAGAACATTGGATACCAGTTTTTTCCACAGCAGGGACTGTGAGAGAGAACCAGCAGCATCCTCTTTGTAATCACAGGGCAGGGATCAGAGTTTGAAATAAAACTCTGTCAGTGTTGGTTAAAAAAAAAAAAAAAAAAAAAAAAAGCAGCCAAACACCCCAGTTGAGAAAAACCAAGTAATTAGATATTTAATATATAAAACGTTACACTTGTTAAATGTTATTGACCATAGCTTTCTCATCCCTGCTTATGATCCTTGTTGGCTTTTATTTTCTAACATTCTTTAGGCTGCAGGTAACAAAAAGCAAACTCCAACTAAACTGAAGCAGTAAACGAGTGGAAGGACTCTGAGGTGACTGATGAACTTGACAAACAAGCTCATGGGCCCTCCCTGAAGGACTAGAAGGCAAGGCTGAAAACCATCAGGACTCTGCCTCTCGCTGGATGTCTGCTTCATTCTCAATTTTTTCCCATGAGGTTGGAATCAACGTTGTCAGCATCACTGGGACTTCTTCCTTTCCTGAGAGAAAATATCTTCCTAGCTCCAGTTAGAGAGATCCTAGGGAGCGACACCTATGTGACCTATTTGTGGTCACATTCCTGTCCTGTGGACGGGTGTCTGTGACCAGGGAAGAAAGATCGGAAAGAACTTGAACTTTGAGGCCAGGCGCAATGGCTCAGCAGTGGCTCATGCCTGTAATCCCAGCACTCTCGGAGGCCGAGGTGGGTGGATCACTTGAGGTCAGGAATTTGAGACCAGCCTGGCAACATGGCGAAACCCTGTCCCCATCTCCACTAAAAATACAAAAATTAGCCAGGCGTAGTGGCGGGCACCTGTCATTTCAGCTAATTGGGAGGCTGAGGCAGGAGAATTGCTTGAACCCGGGAGGTAGAGGCTGCAGTGAGCTGAGATCACACCATGGTACTCCAGACTGGGTGACAGAGTGAGACTCCATCTCAAAAAAAAAAACAACAACAAGACCTTGAACATTTTGAACGTCTCCCCTTTAGACCATGTTAGCAGGATGAAGAGGACAGAGTAGCTCCCCTGAAAGAGGGGTGGGCCATTCTCAGGAATGTCTTACTGAGGGTCACAGTTGGTGAGGAACTGGACTGGCTTCTAGCTTAGTATGTTTTCCATTAAAGACCAGTGTTTCCACAAATAAATGTAGCCCACAGACCAGTGTGGCTTTACTTGATATTTGGCTTTACTTTATAAAAATACACAACTTAAATACATATGACACTCTGTTTACAAGACATAAACAACTGGTAGATTTAACATTTTCAGTTATTTCAACAGAAAGAAAATATGTAAATTACCTTGTAAGAGTAAAGAGTTCATTTATAGACTCTGCTTTCACAGTTAAGGGGGAAGAATGCCCAGGGGCAATCAATGCAGGAAGCTAACCAACACCGTCCAGCTCTCCAGCAAAACTCATCTCGCCAACAGGGCCTCTATTGCACCGCCTAATATTGCACTGCTCGTTAGACACCATCTCACTTATCCATGTCAGAAGTGTAAGCTTTTGTCTTCTCTAGAAAAGTTTAATGAAAAAAACAATGAACAAACAGTAAAACTGTGTCTTACAATTGTGCTAAATACCAATTATGAGAAGTACGAACCTCTCTTTGCTTTGCAAAGCTTGCAATGAAAGGTGGTTAGCTATATTTTGCAGCTAAGTTCATTTTCAAGTTTTACAAAAACTTTGATTCAGAGTAAGCTTGATGGGGTACAGTGGCAAAGGAGGTGACATTCCCATGCCTAGTGGAATTAGTTGTAAGGGGGCACTGTCACTGTCAAAGGCACCATGCACATGGCTTACAGCTCCACCCTTTCTAACTTTTGGCAAAATCCCTCCCTTCCCCTTGTGATGCTGTCATTGTTCTATGGGGCGCAGCTCCTTTTTTTTTTTTTGTCTTCTTTTTTTTGGAAACTGATTCAGAGCTTACAGTGGCTGCTTACTTACTCTGGCTATCTTTCAGAAATTTAGCTGCCTTATCTATGGCTCGTTTAACTAACAGTGAATTAGGTACTAGTTTATAGGTATAAAGAAATAGTTACTCAGTTGAGAATTCAGTATATGAGAACATACTAGAGTAAGTTTCCTGAGGTAAATGTATGCCTTAAAGAATGATGTGCAATCTATAGAACTGTAGCATTTTCTCTTGGGTAGCAACACAATGACCCCCAAGTCTGGACTTTTAAATTAACAGGCTAACAAAACTAAGGATACATTGATATAGAGAAATAAAATGACAATGCTGAAGTCAAAGAAATATTGACAGCTGAGATATCAATTCAAAAGGAGGCATGAAGGGGAACAGAGGAACAGAAGGAGCCTGTATTTTAAAGTGCTTAGGTAGGTTAGAAGATGAATTTAAAATGCCTCCAGGGATTTCTAACAAGTTTAAAAAGTGTTACTTCTTGGTGACTCAGATGTTGAAGACATGGCTTTTCTTTAATAATAGCTATTCAAACTTTTTATTCTTTTTTGAAAAACAAGATCCTCTATAAAAACGTTTTAGCCATTGTAATTATTCTGCTAGCTGTTACTCTCACTAATGTATTTTGAAATCCTAACTGGCTGAAGAATTTTTAATAAGGTTGAACTACAAAGCACACATTTGCACCAATAATTTAAATTAATGCATAGATGTCTGTGAAATTTTGCATGAAGTTAGTGCCAAAAAAAAACCTTTCCATTGCAGATCATGCTTTGTTATTTCTTCATATTCTGCCGAAGGATTATAGGAGTCAGAAAAATTCTAGGACCCTGAAGCTTAACTTGCTTATTTTATTCCTTTTATGTAAATGAAGTGGTATATGGCCATTCTTAGCATTAATATGAAGGTTGGAAACTGAGTCCCAAGACCTAAGAATCAAGCTCAGGCTAAATTTCACCAACTCACACATAAGGATATGAGTGGAAGCACTAATGAATTTTCTCTGCTATAATTGCTCATCTGTGCAATACGGTTGAATGAGGTTTCCCAATCTATTATGTAATAACAGTGATGAAAACTGGCACCAGCTTTTATACAGGGCCACACATTCAGTGAGTTGTCATGTCAATTTGGGCTGACACTACCATGTATGATCCCTCATTCATATGACTTCTACATTCTGCTGTGAGGGCAGACATGTCTGAGTGCTTTCAGCATGATAAAGGCCTTCCTTAAGCAAAATTTAAGTCCTGAAGAACTCTGGGTTGGAGTTCTGTAGCCTCAGAAGCCAGTTAAAGGCCAGAGGAAAATCTTGCAAGAAATAACATATATCAATCAGTTCATTTATAAAGTTGTTTTGATATTACCAAGATGAAAAGTGCTATGATAAAGCAATGTTCTGGTTTCCTGATGACAAGCTCAGTGCAGCACGAGTACAGGCATACAGTGAAAAGCTGCTGTGTGGAAAATCCACAAGACTGCAGTGGGCTTGGATTGGAAGAGAGTGGCTTTTCTTCTTAAGTGGTAAGGTAGATGCTCTCTGGCAGTCGATATGGGATAGCTTTTTAAAATCCACAGGATAGGAAGATTTTATATAGTTTCAAGCCCCAATTAGTACAGCTAATTGAAAGTATATAAAAATGTTAGTTAATGTGGCTGTAGCTAAAAATATGATGTAACAAGAGTGATGACGTAATGAGTCAAGTGGTGAGACTGGTTCTATAAGCACCGTAAGGAGTGCCAGTCCTAATACGGGAACTTCATCCACCCCTTGTATACCAAGGAGGAGACTGTGGCCAGAGAATGTATTTTGTAAGCTATAGTTTTAAAATACTACTCTTCAGAAATTTGGAGCCCAAACAGGAATTACAGAGATTCCTCCCAATAAAGGCCCTGAGATTTCCCCTGACTGCCACCCAAAGGATCCACACTTGTCTCTGGTCAACCAGGTTCAGGTCAAGGCTTAGAAGAGGGAGGAGGCAGTGGCCAGAAGCCAGGGACTCAAGAGGAGAGAAACGATGGCAGATGTGGGGTTCAGAAAAAACACAAGAGGGGAAGGGGAAGAGGGGAAAAAAGGAAGAAACGACACTGGTGAGGAAGTGCAGAAGAGGCCAGCTTTGCTGAGGAGTGGCCCTGCCTTTCTCACCTGCCTGTGGCAAAGGCTGGCAATAAGACAAGGGCTAAGCCTCACGGGGAGTCTCTCCTACTGCATCAAGCTTGCCCTGAGCTTGGCTGGCCTTTTCCTCTGCCGATGTGCATAATCTTCAAGTGCAACTTGTAAGTATCTTTTTTTTTTTTTTTTTTTTAAGACACAAGGTGTTACATTGTTGCCCAGGTGGGACTTGAGCTCCTGGGCTCAAGCAATCCTCCTGTCTCAGCCTCCTGAGTAGCTGGGACTACAGACAGATACTACTGCACCTAGCTCCTGCAAGTACTTCTGTCTTGGGGTCTGATTCCTCATTCCCAGGTACACAATGCTCTCTACTGCTACCAGCAACCATTTCTATGGCAAGGGAAAGGCCTCAGATCCAGGGACAGGATGAGCAGCAGCTAGTGTACCTAGAATTTGTGGCTACCACCACCTTTTCTCTTAGGACTGGCTTGTCTCTCCCCCTGGTGGCTGCAGAAGAGGAACAGAGTGAATATCATAAAGGATTGCTCAATTCAGAACTGTATCACCTCATTTTACAAACTCCCAAAGGGCTGCCAAGAGTCATCATTATAGATCGATGGTTAAAATATCACCTAAGAAACTCATCGTAAAAGCAGCAACTTCTCTGTAAGGTCACATCAAACTTACAGGGATTCTAATGTTGTTTGCTTCCATTTTTGTTATTTTCTTCTCTGATGAGGAATTCAGTAAAAAACAAAAAGTGAAAGGGTCCTCTTGTCCTCTCTTCCCTCCCTCCAGGAACCTCGTGGATTTCCCCAAGTGAAATGCCTAAGGGATACTATAATTACAGAGCTGACGAATGAGAAAAAAATTCAGATTATCTAGAAATATGAAATGAAGTAAGCGACGCTCAGTTCTCTTCATACAAATGCAGGTCATTTCTCAGTAAAATGTCTATGAAATGGGCACCTGAATTACTGATATACAAATGACAACACATGAATGAAAAGAGCAGTGAGATTCTGGGAAGGAAAACTCCATGTTGGTTATTTCAC